CTGGCCTTTGCCGCATTGTCGATATTTTTCGATATTTTGAGCTTTTTTTGCCTATTCCATATTTTGAGATTCGATATTTTGAGATTCCATATTTTGAGCTTTTTTAGCCGATTCGCGATTTTGAGATTCCATATTTTAAGAATTCGGTATTTTGTATGGGAGCCGATTTTTGTCTCTCTCAAAACACCATTATCTATATTTATTTCCATTTCTCTACCAACTTTGCTAAAAAGTGTCTTTTTCCGCATTATTTCTCTATAGCTTATATCGGGTACAGCCCAAAACGGCGCGCGGCCATAAAGGCGCAAAGCCATAATTTGGTGGAAAATTTCTGGCCCTTATCAATTTTGGTACCAATTTCTTAAGCTCGATGAGAGGAAGCGTTTAATACTAAATTTGACAAGATTCGGAAATTTTGAAGCAAGTTATGGCATTGCGCCGTTATGGCCGCGCGCCGGCGTGTCCCCTTATATTTTTTGTTAGACCAGTCGATTCTTCTCAAACATCAAAGGAAGCGGCGGTGTTTTCTTTTTGGATATATTTTTGTTGCGCTTTTTGGAATGTTTTGAAGCCTTTATTAAATTTATTTTTTAATTTTTAGGTTTTTTATTGGCCAAAATTTATTTTTAAAATTTAAAAAAAATGAAGCTTCGCTCAAAGACTTGTAATACTTCTTCTTCAAGATTGTCAGTTTCTAGCCAAAAATCGGTTGTTAATTCGCCTAATAAAGACACAAACGTTAAAACTGGGACGAGGTTAGCTTTAATTTGTTTTTTGTTGTTTGGATTTTATGGGAGGTGGGAGGCTGTTTGGAATAATTTTAAGATTTTTGATTCTCAGGGGTCTAAAATCTTACTTTTTTAATTTTTTTAATTTATGTAGTATATCATTGGGATTTAAATATTTTTTGTTTTAAATTTGTCTGGACTTTTTTTTTAATCTGGACTTTCTAGTTTTTTTTTCAATTAGGTTTTCTAAGAACATGTATTTTTACTTGTGTCTGTGTTTTTATAAATAATTCGAATAAAAATTTAAATTAACCTGTTACGGAGTTGTACGATGGCATGATTGTGCTTTGAATCTTTTCCATGACAGTTCTATTCAATCTCCCCTTCTCAAGCGTTCCTAATTATTGCAAACTTTGAAGCCTCATAACTTTTTAGTTTCATATTCCTAGCCAAAAAAGCCGGAAATTTTCTAGAGTAAATCGATGATGCTCTATCGATTGGTACCAAAAAAATACAAAGTTTTGACAGACAGTTCGTGAGTTCTCCTTGTTAGCATTATAAATATAATAACTATCCCTAATTTTGTTATTTTATCAGAGGGAATTATTAGTCCATTCCTTCTCAAAATTTTTTAAAATTTCAGGCAGGAACATCAAAAAGACGAATTAATTTCCTCACTTCCCTCCACTTCAAAATCCGCCCCTCAGCTTGCTTCAACACCCCTTTCAGTTTATGGAACTAGAAGGAGTAGCACAGCCTCTACAGAATTCTCACCCGATTCTCCAGGCTTTGGAAGAGTGGCTAAAAGCAATGCTCGTCTTTTAAATGGTTTTTTTTTAATTTTTGAGTGGCTAGGGTTGGATTAGGCATTAAAAACCTGGGGCGTAGTTAGGGGGTTGATTTCAGGGGGGCTAAAATTGGGTGTGTGCCAAAATTTTAACGTATACTTTAAACAAAAACTATAAATTGTTCGAGTTTAAAACCTTACGTTCAAAACTGAAATTTTTTGTCTACCTATAGAATTATTCTTAAATGCCTCAGGCAAAATTTCAGGCGTTCTGTAGGGTCTTAAACGAAAAGATTCATCTCTTGGATGGTCCTTCCAATATTTTTCCTGGGAGGAAGAGGAGTTCAATCCCCGTGGAATACGCTCTTGTGTTGGAAAATTTTTAGAGAAAAAAAATTTAGAGCATTGGGCGTATACATTAAGCAGGAGCCACAAATGTTTCGGTACTTTATTAATATCCTCCCTCACCCCCTATTTGTGTCATTTTAATTTTCTTTTTTACTGTCAACCATTTCTTTAAACATAAGTAAAAGGCAAGTTATTAGGAGGGAAAAAATAAACGGCAAAATCTACCTAACTGCAAAATTCAACATTTATAAAGAATAAAAATTTGGCCATTCCGAGGCATAAGAGGCTCTAATAGGGGGGCGGAATATCAATAAATAGGGTTGCCGGTTCGGTTTGATGGATCGAACCGGGCATCGAATTTTGGCCCGAAAAAGACTCGAACGGTTCGATTCGATAAAAATGAGGCCCGAGAGAATGACTCGAATGCCGGCCCAGTTAGGAAACGGCAATCCTATTAATAAAGCACCAAAATTTTGATTAAAATTTATTTAGAATAATTATTCTTATTAGTTTTTTTTGAGTTGAAAGAAAATTTTATAGATTTTTCAAATTTTCTTTAAGGCCGTCCAAATTTAAAAACAAACCAAAAAATTATTATTTCTCCAATTTTCAGGACTTGATTTAACCAGAAAAAGCAGTGGAAGCTCTTCGTATTTAGGCACAGCTGTAGTTCTGCCAGAATTAAAAACATTCGAACTTTCTGAGAAATGTTCAACTCTTTCAAAACTTTTAAAAACTTGTGGAAATGGAGTTTCTGATTCTGCTAGGAAATTGGGAGTTGAACAACAATTGGTTTGGAATTTTTTTTTAATAAATAATTATTTTTTACTTCTGAAACCCATAAATTAATTAAAATTTTTGAAATTTTAAATTAATTTTTAATAAAAAAAGTTTTTCGAATTTTTAATTCAAGGATAATTATTAAAGTAAATTACATCTTACAAGGAACCCTTTGGAACTTCAGATGTACTTTTTTGATACCAATCAATAAAGCATTATTGATTTACTCTTGTAGATTTCCGGCTTTTTTAGCTAGGAATATGAAACTAAAAAGTTACAGAGTTTCAAAGTTTGCCAAAAAGGGGGAGAAAAGGAACACAAGAGGTCAGGTCCGTAGCCAGGGGGGATCCAAATTTTCAAAATTTTCCCCCGAAAAATAATCTTGACTACGGGCCTGCAAGAGGTTCTTACAGTTCGAAAGGTTTCCTTGTTAGTTTTTAGAAAATAAATTAGAAAATCCTTTTTTAAATTATTTTCAAACAGAATTTTTTGTTAAAATTAGGACCTAACCTAAAATAATAATAAATAATTTTCGGAGTTCTTTGATTCTTTTTAATTTTTTTTGTTCTCCAATAATTCCAAATTTTTTGAAATTATTCTCTAAAAAATATTTTTTTTTCTAAATTCTAAAAAATTTTTATTTTTTAAATTTTTATTTAAAATAATTCAATATTTGCACTTAAAATTTTCTCTCATTTCCAGACAATTTTAAATAATTTTTATTAATTGATTGCTTACGCTTTTTTAAATAAAAATCGAAGGGAACGTTTCATTTCCCCCATCCCCCAATTTTTTGCCATTTTTTTTAAATTTTCTATTAAAATTTAAAAAATTATTTTTTTCCATGGTTTTCTGAACTAAATTTATTTTTTAAAAATTCATTATGGAAATATTGGTGAAGATTTTTAAATTTGTTTTTTTAATAACTGAACGGGGGAGTTTAAGTTATCAAAGGCCTAATTAATTTTTGAATTGAGAATTTTGGTATGGGAAACTAGATCGAAATTTTTGAAAAGCCTGGGCCCGTTCCTGGACTTTAAGGTTTGGTTTTTTGCCCTGTGCCGGATCCTGGCTGTAGTCCAGGAAAAACCCAGGAAGGTCAAAAAATGCCTGGGCCTGGACTCTGGGTACATGAAAAACCCAGGCCAAGGTAAACGCCAAAAATTTGGCGCGCACCCAGAGTTAGCCCCCCCCCCCCGAAATCGACCCCCTGGCTACGCCCTTGTAATTAATATCCCCTTTGATCTCGAAAAATTGAAAAACATTTTCTTTTGAATTTCTTCTATTTATTGCCTTTATTTAACTAAAAACTATTTTTCCTTTACAATTCTTTAATATTTAATTTTTGTAATTCCTTTCTTCTAATCCTTTATTTTTCCAAAATCCAACAAGATTTCCCCAAAATAAATATTTATTTTTGATTTGCCTATCTTTTATCATTTTTTCAATTTTTAGACATCACTTCAATTCGAATTAGAAGAGCTTTGTGCCCAAAATATAGATTATCAAAGCACAATTCACGGAGAAATAACCTATTTAACAACAGGGGAATACCCAACAGTTAATTTACAAAATCGTCCTTTGCCTATATTTTGTTGTGTTGGAAAGGAGGAAATGCAAAAATTGGCTGAACGTGTGAAAAGATCTGTCCCAACACCAACAACATCTATGAGGTTTTTAATTGGGGGAATAGTGGAGGGTGGAAGGGGGGTTTGCCTAGGTTTTTGGTAAAAGAACAGACCATTTAAATGGTCAAAAAAAATTTTTTTAAGAACCTAAAAACGGTCGAGACCGGGCTCATTCGATAGAGAATGTGCCCTTTCTAGCAAGGATTTTGAGCCGTTTTTGCCCGTTTTTGATCTGGCCAAAATATGGCCCTCCAAAGTCCCAAAATTTGGTTGGTCAGAATTAAAAATATATAAATAATAAAAAATAAATTTTGGAAATCTTAAAAAATATTAAAATGAAAAATTGAAAATTTTTACACAAAAATAAAGAAAAAAGTATTTTATTTTTTATAACCCAACAAGTTTAGCCTAAAAAACCATCTTTTCTCTTTTTATATTTAGCTTTAGTTCTAGAAAGAAATAAATTTGTGGGCTCTTCTTAAGTTTTATTTCTGACAGAAGAAATGTGGGCGCGTGGCGCAACGGATAACGCGTCGGTCTACGGAACCGAAGATTGCAGGTTCGAATCCTGCCGTGCTCGAACAATTTTTTAATGTTTATTTAAGCTTCTACAAAATTTAGAAAAATTATTTTTACAATTTTTTCGATCCAAAATTTTTTTATTCTATGTCTAGACCTTGGAATTATTCAAAAAATTAATTTTTTGATAAATATTTTTTATTTTTTCAGTTTAACCGATCTTGGCATTTTTTCTTCGCCTGAAGATGATGAAACTCCACATATTTTGGATGTTCCCCATCGCTTTTGGACTTGGGCTAAAGAGTTTGGAAATTAATTATTTTTATTTTTTAACTTCAATTAAAGGTATTTGCGACATATCTCTTTGGATTATGTGAATGAATACAAAGAAAAAATGCTCGATCGCTTCTCTGAAGAAAATATTATTGGAAATTATTGTTCGCAAAATATTGAAAAAAACGGTATAAAAATTTTAAAATTTTTTGGGGAATACAATCGAATCTTATTTTTAGATATCCTTAAGATTAGTATCCCTTTTGAATCCTTTAAAATCATTTGTGGGAGGGAGGGGGTTCAGGAGGGTGTGTTAGGCTAACAAGGGAACATCCCGAACCGTATTTAAAAATTTCGAAAAATTTTTTGCACGATTGTGTAGAGCAAGTTTTTCGCTTTTCCCCTGGCAATAGGTTACTGACCAGGGGTGGCGCTCGTCTCGTATTTCTTGAAAAGGCTGTAGTGTAGTGTACCGGTGGTAAAAGTTCGGGACGTGACATATGTCATTCGATTCGTCTCGGCGAGCTGGTTCGAACGGTACCACTCCCTACTTTAGGAAATGATTCTGGACCGAGTTATAGGTCCCGAAAAATCGAAAAACCATAGGGGGGACCAAGCAATTTTTTGGGGTGAAAAATTCGAATATGCAAATTATACCTCATTCGAAAGAGCTCGTCGAGCTGAGTCGAATGACACCAAAATCATCGAAATCCGACATGATTTGACAAAATTATGCTCGTTTGCTTTAGCTCCTTACCTATGGTGTTCATGGAGGTTTTTGCTGCTACGGAGGCTCCAGTTACGTCCAGAGCAAGGGAAATATGAATAGGGTTATGTTACGAGCCCAGACCCAGCGCCCGTAGACTCCCCGCGAGGCGCGTGCCGCAAAACTCCGCGCGAAGCGCGGAGTTTTGCACAAGCGCCTCGCCGACGCCCCATAGGTATACGTTGTTTGTTTTTGTGTCGTAACTTTGCATAATATTGTTCAATCGCTATGATTTTGGTGTCATTCGACTCAGCTCGACGAGCTCTCTCGAATGAGCTATTACATGTTTTTTCGAATTTTTGACCATAAAATCCCACTTCTGGTTTTTGACCATTTCGAGCCCTCTATCTCGACTCAAATATCTTCAATCAAACTGATTTTGGTGTCATTCGACTCAGCTCGATGAGCTCTTTCGAATGAGCTATTATTTGCATATTCGAATTTTTCACTCCAAAATGAGCTTACTCCCCCCTATGGTTTTTCGATTTTCAGGGACCTATAACTCGGTCCAGAATCATTTCCTAAAGTAGGGAGTGGTACCGTTCGACTCAGCTCGCCGAGACGAATCGAATGACATATGTCACGTCCCGAACTTTTACCACCGGTACACTACACTATATCCCTTGAAAATCTCGTTCTCGTTTTTTTTTTGAGAATCTCGTGTCTCGTATTTTATGGCACTTGCGCCACCCCTGTTATCGGCCCTACTCTACACGATGGTGCAAAAAATTTTTTCGAAATTTTTACATAGTTTGGAATACATATTCCCTTGCAAGTCAAAGTCCGACAAAACACAGTCCAGACAAAATACAGTCCAAAGACAAAATATATTCCAAAGACAAAAACAGTCCAAAGAGAAAAATATGCATTGGGGGTTATTTGGGCGCGACGGATGTTGATTTAAATGTTTAACCCGAACTGTATTAAAAATTAAAAAAATATTTTTTTCAGCTTCCATTTCATCCACTTCCCAACAACAATCTTCTAAATCTCTTCCCAGCATAACTCCAGCAATTTCTGAAAAATCTTCAAAAAAACGAAAAAGAGTTTTATCAACTAGTGAATCTTCTTCTGAATCATCTGCCTCAATTTGCACAACTCCTCTAAAAAATTTTTATTCTGAAAGAGGGCCGAAAGGACGTTTTAAGAAGCGAAGTGATTCTTTTAAATCTAATGAGGAAATAACTACACCCTCTTTTGAACAAAATTATAGAGGAAGAGCAATTTCGTTTCATGTTGGAAGTAATAAATCAGAGAAAGGACCAAGTTTGTGGTTTTTATTTTTTATATCAGAAACTAATATAAAAAGGGGTTTAAAGGGTTCTTAAAAGGGGGTTAAGGGGCTCTCTCCGTGTCCGTTTTACCGATGTTTTCCAATTTTATTGGGGTTAACGCGTTACGCAGAAAATTTTGGGAGCAGGCCAACGTACCGAGGGGCCAAGGTACCGCCGAGCTTTAACTTCGTCTAAAATCGTTGAATCCTAGGCACCCGAGTATGTTTCTATGCGTTTCGGCGAGCTGAGTCGAACCATACCAGATCGTCCCGATTTCGACAATTTTGAACGAAGTTATAGTTCGGTGGTACTTGTCCTCGCGGTACGTTGGGGTTTAATTGAAAATTTTTTGCTCGATTTTTGGTTCTTTTTTTGGTCCTCCATAAATTCTTTTCCCTGTTTAAAATTCCATTTTTCACCTAAAAAAATTTTTCCACTTCATTAAAAATTATCGAATCCTGGACAATATGTTTCTGCATCTTGACGAGCTGAGTCGAACCATACCATTTTAAACGAAGTTATAGCTCTACGGTACTTGGCCTCGCGGTACTTTGGGGGGAGGGGGGGGGGGGGGAATCGAAAATTTTTGCCCAAGGTCCGGCAAAAATTTTCCCCGTTTAAAAGTCCATTTTTTACTTCTAATAAAATTTTTTTTCAGCCTCAAAAACTTTGTCTTCCTCGCAAAAAGAAATACTTGTAGATATTGACTGTTCTTCTTTAATTACACATAAACTTGTTCCAAATGGATTACATCCTCGTTTAAACAGTTTAAATAAAAATACAAATTTAAGTAATGGAATTATAGGCAACAAATCATCCCAGAATGGAGGAAAACAGCAAAAACAGTTGAGAAAAGGCACTCCAATAATTAAAAAACAAAAATCAAAAAATAAAATTTTTGGAAAATCTGAGAGCAATTTAAAAAATTGTTTTAAATTAATGAGTGAAGAAGACGATGATTTTGATGAAGAGGAAGAAGATAAGGAAGAAATTGTTGCTGAAGAGGAGGAGGAGGAGGATGGGGAGGAATTGATGGAAAAATCAATGAGGGGAGTGAATGGGAATAATGGAACAAATGACCGAAAACATTGGACAAAATCATCAACGGCGACAACTTCGAATGATAAAGACGTTTGGATTTTATAAATTATTATTTTATTTTTAAAGGAATACACCTTTTTTAAGAGGGATACCTTTTTTGAAAACCCCATTGAGGCTGAAAAATCATCCTTATACTGAAGGGCACTTTCATGCTGATGAAGAAGGGTACTTTCTAGATCTTAGAAGCTCCCCCAAAATTTAGGAAAAATCTGAATTTGATGTGTTTCTAGAAGGATTGGGAGGGAGGGGAGGATAGATAATAACGTAGTTTGATTATATGATAGAATTGGTTAATAGGGTTGGTCCCCGTCGTTGAGAGGGAGGGCTACGGGGAAAGTTTTTTGAGAAGGCAGCGCTACAGGGGAGAGGACGGGGAATTTTCAAAAAATATCTCAAATTCCCCAACAAATTCCCAACGGGGACCAGCCCTATTTGTTAATAATCCAAAACATTGTTTCTCGTTTTGGCTTTTATTGTAAATATTTTTTAAAAATTTCTGTGAGTTGTCAGTTGATTAGAATTTCAAACAAATTAAATTTTCTCTAAAAATTTTCAGCCAGACAACGAAATTTCTGTATTACTACGAAAAAAGCAAGAACGCCTCCGTGAATTATTTTATAAAAGTCGACCGACTATAGAAACCTTGTATGCTCGTGTGTTGAAAGAATATGCAGTTCATGAAGCTATACATAAAATGGATGAAGCTGATAATAAGGTTTTTTGAAATTAAAAATTTTTTTTTGGCTCTTCCAGGGGTTCTAAATATTTTTTCTTGACTTTTTCTTAATAAATTGAAAGAAATAAATGGACAATATCACTCAAATTAGTCTAGCCTCCTCCTATTTTCAAGCCTAATTTTATTTGGCGCTGTTCTAGTTTATGCGTCCAATCAAAATTAAATTGGATTTTTCTTGGTACCGACTATAGAAACGTTGTATACTCGATGGGGAATAAATAAGTAATACCAAGAAAAATCCAATTTTATTTTGATTGGACGCACAAAAGTTCATTGGACGCATAAATTAGACCAGCGCATTTTAGTTTTATAGGTCAGTCTTGTATTTACTTTTCTAAATTTAAATATTTTTTGAATCAAGCATATTTTTTTGTGGGATATATGAGGAATAAATAACCATTAACTGTGACTATCTCGTATAATTTTTTGACACCTTTCTATTCTCGAATTCGTTTCCTAATTCCATTCCCCCTTGGCCCTCTTCGGAAAAGAATCATGGTTGCGGGCCTGATTCCATTCATTTTCTTTAACTTGCCGATTCCATTTTTGCTTAACTTAGGATGTGTCTGTTTCTAACGTAAAATTTACGGTTTTGGATTATCGGTTAGAACCAGGGATGTTACGGGTTACCCGAAACGGGTGTTTTTCTCGACCTGATACCCGAAACTCGACCCGAAGAAAATTTTGAAAACCCGACCCGACATATTTCTCAACCTGTGACATCCCTGGTTAGAACCGAAGAACTGTCATTAAATTATTCCAAAATTATTTTTTTCATTAAATTTTACAGCTTTACAAAATCGCTTCAAAATTTGAGAATACCACAACTTCATTAAATCCTGAACAAAGACAAGAAATGCAAGCAGCATTGAAAGAGCATAATATTCAATATGCTTCATTTCATGGACTTAAAAAGTGAAAAAGGAAAGAGAAAAAGTTGCAATTTTTTAAAAAATATCAGTGCTTTCTAGTATATTTAATTCAACGAGAGATTGTTTTTTAAGATGAATTTGAATATATTATTGTGTTTAACGTGTTTTCTTTTTATTTATAAAATTGGGATATTGCCAGCCAATTTTTATATTTTTTATTGAGGGGAGGCCGGGGATGGTTATTTTGTGTTGGTTACTTAAAAAGTGAAAGGAATGGCAGAAAATAGCTGTCCAAACTGCTAGCAAAGCAACTGATCGTTTTTGATTAAATTAGACGTGCACAAGATTAACGTTTATCCAATGTAGAAATGTAACATAGGCGAAGGGATGGGAGAGCTGGAACAGACGAAGGAGATCAGTGACTAGCCACGCAAATATGACCCAACTAGACTGACGCTTTCACTGACTTTTATACTATAGCGATACCACTACACAACAGTTTTAGTAGTTCAAGTCCAGTCAACCATCAATTTTTGTTTGTACGACTCTGCTCGACGAGCTTTTTGAACGCTAATTTAATTAAAAATCCACTAGTTAGGCACCAAAGATTGTCCTTTAAAAGTCTAATTATCCGAAAATTTTTAAAAATTTATTTACTTTCTGACTTGTTCAGACGGATGAAGCTTCTAATGAGTAGAGTTGGTCCCCGACGGGGAGGGGCACGGGGAAAAATTTTCGGGGAGGCAGCGCCACGGGGAGGGGGACGGGGTCAACCCTACTAATGAGACTAACACAAATTAGAGATTGAAGAATATTTTATTCTCAAAAAATAAAATCCAAAAAAATGTTTTTAAATTAATTATTGCCTTTAAACAATTTCTTTTGTAACTATTCTGCTTACAATTAAATCGCTCATCGAAATTCCGTTAACATCTAATTCTGGCAATTGATAAATCTGAAAAAATAAATTTTAAAAAATAGAATAAAACTTTAAATAATTTAGAGAAGGAACTTTATAAAAGAAGGATCAACTGGGGGATTTAACAAAGAGATTTTGGGGAAACAAAATATAATATAGACAATTTTCGAAAATTTTAATTAGGAGAATTTGGAGGGGTAGGGGTATACCAGGGATGGGCCGGATCGACGATTGCAGGTTTGTAATTTTGCCCACCAAAAATAAGAAAAGATCAACTGGTTTAAAAGCCTAGGATTATTTTAGGTTAGAAAATAATCTACTCCATATACACTTTTTCAAATTAATTCCATACATAAAAAATGAGAAAATTTCAACCGTAATTGTCGACCCGACCCATCCTTGTTGTGTACCAGGGGTGTGCCAGTTTCGCGTTTCGCCTTTCGCGGATTTTCGCGTTTTTTGGACTTTCGCGTTTCGCGTGTCGCTTTTTTAAATTTACTTTCACATTTCGCGTTTCGCTTTTTGCGCGAAACGCGAAAGTTTTATACACCCCTAAAGATGGTTAAGTTGGAGAAAAAAATAAGGCCCGAATAAATTGAAAACCTCCAAAATTCTCAAAATTTTCGCCTGCGGCGCTGAAAAGGAAGAAATCTGGCTTATTGGTCTTACAAGATCCCCTTAATTTTCGTCTGCGGCGTTTAAGAAAAGATTTTTGGCTTAAGGATCTACCAAAATTCTCAAAATTCTCGCCTGCGGCGCTGAAAAAAGAAGATGTTTAGCATAAGGATCTTCCAAAATTCTCTGAAAAAGGAAGAAGTCTGGCTCCTTGGCCTTACAAAAATTCTCAAAATTTTCGCCTGCGGCGCTGAAAAAGGAAGAACCTTGCCATAGGTTTATCTCCCCCTATTCCGCAGATTCTCGATATGCTACGAGTCCATCATCACTCAAATCCTCCATATTCTCCGGAATTTACCCAAATACAACGGTGTCCCTCTTAATCCACCCAAATCTCAAAACAAAAATCCACCAAAATACCACTTCTACGGAAATGTTTTGGAAGCGAGGTTAGTATATTTTGGAAGCGACCTTAGTATATCCTAAAATATAGAATATAAAATAAAGGATGGAACCTGGCTTATGTCTGATATTCCCTCAAATCCCTTGATATACCGGATGCGCATCGAAATCCTAATGGGGATTGTAAGAGTCAGTTGGGGCTGTGATTCGCAACAAATCACTGAGTTGACAAATCTCTAGAGATTTCTTATCATATAGTAAAAATTTTAAGAATTTCGCGTTTCGCGTTTCGCATTTCGCGGATTTTCGCGTTTTTTGGACTTTCGCGTTTCGCGTGTCGCTTTTTTAAATTTACTTTCGCCTTTCGCGTTTCACTTTTTAAATTTAATTTCGCCTTTCGCGTTTCGCATTTTAAAATCCGTTTCGGCACACCCCTGTTGTGTACAGTGAATAGAGAGAGATGTTAGGTACAATAAATTCCTCTTTAGCCGAAAAGACTCGAAATTGTACAAGTTAATTGTATTAAAATTAGTTGTAATTTTTGGCAGAAAATATCAGTCGTGCATAATCCTAATTAATAGAGACCGGCTATATATGGAGAGACGAAATCCAAACGGGATTTTGCGGGATCCCGGATTTTTTTTGATTTTCGGGATCATTTGGGATCCGGCATTTTTTCGGGATTTATCCCTCGGGATCCCGTCCCGGCATCGGTTAAGAAAAAAAATCACGACTCGGGATCCTGGAAATGCGATTTTGCCGGTCTCAACCAATTAAAACATTATCCATCCCCAACCTGTTTAATCGACCCCAAATCAGAAATTTCTCGAAGTAATTCAAAAGACACAGGGGTGCCTTTAATCCTTTTAGCTATTGATATCATTTTCTTTCCTTTAACATCATCAAAAATAGCAACAACCAGGGATTGGCTATTTTCGGCTATTCCAAAAGCTGAAAATTTTTAATTTAAAAAATTAAAAATTTTTAAAAAGGGAAAAATATTTTTGTAAATAAATTCTCCGAATATTCTCTCAAAAGGTCAATTTTTATTTTGATTAGAATAGAGACATGAATTTTTAAAAATTAATTTGGTTAACGAACGGTTTTAGATAATCAAAAATTTTAAATTTATTTTAAATTTCAGTCTCTGGTCAAATACTGAATGAATTTCAAGGGCGTATCCAGGGGGTTGATTTCAGGGGAGTAAAGCAGCTGGGATATAGCTATTTCTCTCCTTCAGCTAGTGCAAAAGGTTATTCGGCGGCTCGGAGGGAACCAGCATCTTCAGTAGACCGGACTGATGTGTTAGCCATTACACTACGCCGCCTACTGCTCAGCCTTAGGAAATTAATAGCTATATGCTTTACAGGGGATAAATGAGTGTTCGTTCCTAATGCAAATTTTATTGTGCACAAGAATTTTGAGGGTCGTAAACAAGAAAATTTCATTTTTCCTATAATCTTTCTTCCAATATTTTTCTCTTTTCCCCTTGACCTAAACAAATCCAGAAAAAAGTTGAAACTAAAAAAAATTTAAAATCTTTTGAGGCTCAGAAGGTGATCAAAACCGGGACTTAATGAGAAATTAAAAAAACTAATAATTTCCAGAAATTATTAACCAATTAATTTTTTCCTTGGGAAATAAAAAAATTTTTTTCGATTTTAAGTCCTATGAATTTTTAAAAATATTAAAAAATCCCAACTATTTAAAGAATCAGAAATATTTCGATTTGGAGACAAAGAATAAATTAATTCGGCACTCAGAGAGCGTGTAATCATTCGATTATGGGCTGCTTGATGGACTGCTCTATTTGCTGCGGCTAATAAAACAAAGGGTTCGAGAAGCTTAAAAATTTTTTTTTTTGAAAAAATAATTTTGGAAATTTAAATTTAAACCAATTCTGCACGAATTAAGGCTGCGTCAATTTCGCCTTTTCTAACAAATTCTCTCAATTCAGAAGCATTTTCAACATTTGTAAACTTGAAAAAAAAACAAATTTTTAGTCGAGGAAAGACTCATAAATTTAAAAATACATGGGCTCTGAGGATAAGAAAACTAGGGAAAAATCGAAAATTCGGGGATTCCATAACTGATTTTTTTTTTCAAAATGTCTAAAAGGAACAGTACCCCTACAGGAAAATTTTTTTCTAATTTTTTAAATTTTTTTAATAAAAATTTTTTCCCTCTTTTTTCGGGTATACCCAAGCCGCAAGCCCGACCTACCGCCGAGGCTATAACTTCGTTTTAAATGGTCGAATCCGGTACGACCTGATATGTTTCGATTCAGCTCGTCAAGGCGCATCTAACCATACCATGGCGTCCCGAATTTGACAATTCTGAACGGAGTTATAGCATCGGAGGTAGGGCTCCCACCTTTTTCTGTTCATTTTTTTTCATTTTCTATGACAAATTATATACATTCGAAAGTGCTCTTCAAGCTTAGTCAAACGGCACTAGAATCATCGAAATCTGACTTAAATGTGAGCATTTGTTTTAATCCTTTTCGAATGATATCTAAATTATATGTCAAGCAAAAAAGCTCAAAATGGTCAGGGAAACAAAAAAAGAGGGGCGTAAGCAGAAGTATTACCGAATTTTGGCCCAGACTTGGTTCGATAAAATTAAACAAACAAACCAAACAAATACGTAAAAACTTTGATTGTGTATTGTCGTAAGGATCAGGCTGAAGTTCAAAAAGTTTTGAAAGCCCTGTTTTCATTCCTTCAATAATTACTCTAAAAAATTGGAAATAAACTAACTGTGAAAATATGTAAATTGACAAATAATGGCTCAAAACTTGTTAAATAAATACTTTTTGTTATTTTTATTAAGATTTTATGGTGGCCAAACCTTCGTCAATAAATCATGCGTCAATGAACTTGTGGGACACGCCCGAATAGGCGCGACTGAAAAAGACGCGACCGAATAGGCGCCGGCCGAATTGGCGTCAAGCTTTTTAATTAAATATTCTGATTAGTGACCGCCAAAATTATTTTTCCGGGCCCGGAATAACAGTATAGGCAGTATAGGATGAATATATTCATGTTAGGTATGCCAGGGACTTCCAAACCTCTTGGTTTTGAATTGTGACTAACGACTTATTAGATTTTCCATTTTGGAGTGAAGTCTTGAAAAATTAGTCTCTGTCTTGAGGCTTAATTCGAGATTGAGGTTTGTCGCGATTGAAAAAGTCAGAATAGGGTTCAAGAAAATATGAAATAGGCGCTAAAGCGTAATGGCGCTCAACTCATAAGAGCAAAGTATTCGAGAGAGAGAGATCAAAGCAAAATTTTTTTGCTAAGGTTAGTACATAATTAAACTTGCTAAAAATTAATAAAAAAATTTCAGCTGATTAAAGTTTGAATGCTTCTATTTATGTAAATTGAAAAAAATATTGGTAGGTATTTTACGCTCAGTTTGGTTCAAAAGTATCAATAATTATTTTCATTAATAATTTATTGATAATTTTGAACCAAACTAAACGTAAACAACCTAAGTATTAGGGGTGCATCTCGTCTCGTATCTTGTGAAATCTCGTGTTTTTGGAGGTCTCGTATCTTGTATTTTGCCACGAGACACGAGATATTTTCAATCTATTTTAGAAAAAATGTCAAAAATTTGGGACTATTTTTAAATCTTAGAATTAAGAAAAAAGGAAGAAATCTTCGCCTCCTTATCGGGTGTCCATAGCTTCCGATATCACTCAAATCAGCTAACAACCTAAATAATCCTAAGGTATCTATTTCTCTAACTCTCTTTGATCCTTCCAAATCCCATGATATTCTCCGTAATCCCCCATATCGCAATAAATCCCCTCGATACTCTAAATCCCCAGTATCCTTCATAATACAGCTGTAATCATTATCCATTCAAACCCTTATATTTTTGGCTTTACAATTTTATGTATGAATAATTTTGAAAAACAATTATTATTTAGTATCTCGTATCTCGTGAAATCTCGTATTTTGTGGCACGAGCTGCACCCCTGCTATGTATGTACTAAACTTTTTTCAATTTACATAAATAGAAGCATTCAAATATAAAGCAGATAAAGCAAAATTAAAATTCATTTTAAAATAAAATTAAATAAAAATATAATGAATTCCAACAAAAATATTTTTAATTTAATAATTTTTTTATTAAATTATTTTATTTTAATAAATATATTGGTTAAAGCTATTTCAAATGATTCTCAAATAGATAATGAAGATTATATAGCTTTACAGGAATTGTGTAACAAATTTAATGTTAGTCAAAAATTGGAGGATAATTATCGAAAAATAAATCAGAATTTTGGTAAATTTAATGAAAGCAAGGTACATATTCTTTTAAAATTTATTTTTAAATTCAAAATTAAACGAGGGAAGGTGTTTAGATACCGGGGTTGCGTCGTAATTACGAATTACGATTACGAAAATAAAAATTACGAGAAAATATTATTACAAAAAAACTCATCATGAAAATGAAAATTGGCCGAGATAATCCGGATCTAACGGAATTAATTATACAAATTTTATAGACTGATAAAATTACTTAAATTCCTTTAAAGATCAAGATAGTAACATATATAGACAATTTTATTCGTCTTAAAATATTTCCGTTAGCAGCTGCTGCTATGGTTCCGACGAAAATATTAATGAATGTCTTACACAAATATATTATGATTTTATAGTAATTATTTAAATTAATAAATGAAATAAAAGTGATAAACCTTTAGTTTATCAAAAGTTGGGTAGTTAAATGTCAAGGTGTAGATGCTTATTGTTCAGCTTTTACTGCTGTTTCTTTAAGAGACAATGCAATTCTTCTAGCATTTAGGTGGAAATATTTGTAGAAAATTATTAAAAATATTTTTATAAATGTTAAAGAGGTACTGACACATTTTGGCAATTGTCTCATGAAGTTTTGACGACTTTACTAGCACCAAAAGTTCTTTCGGTATTTGGTATTGGACATGTTTGTCGTAATTTTGAAATTTTTGTTAAATATCTTTTCAAGGTTGCTTTCTATTTCGATAATATTTTTACGCAGTTAGACAAGAAAGGTGTAACTGAAACGATCGTCGATCTTTTACGTGAATATCGGGGATTTGAACTTTGGGTTTGTTTAATTTATTTATTGTTCAGCTTAGTACTTTTTATGTTTTGTTTTATTTTGTAGACAATCTCAAATACGGTTTGCTTTTAAAATAGCCCCAGCCTCTAAATCTAATGAACCGTTTGTTGCATAGTTCGGTGCATATCGTATATACTGTATTAATTACCATGGGTAATTATTGTTTCGATCTCTCGCTGGAGGGGGGCAATTATTATTTCGAATTGTAATTTATTTTATCATGAAGATATGAACAATGATATACATTATGTTAATGAAAGTAGATAAATATTAAATTTTACTGATATTACATATACCCCTAATATTTCCATATACATAGAATATATCCCAAAATGGTACAATAGCACCAATGCTCCCTTCCTGGAATATACAAAGACACAATGAGCATGTATACAAGTACAAATTCTTTTACAAGTACAAATCCCCCTTACAAATCCTTTTATTCTCTGTATTAAATATTTTCAAAATTAGCTTAGGAAAAATAGGGAGTAATTATTCGAGGGAGGGTAATAAATAAAGTACATATATACGGTATTTTAGAAAATTTTGTACATATATTTTTTTATTAGTAGATATTTTGGGATTTTTTGTTGTATATATGTGCATATTTGGTGATTCTGCGTTTATACTTTGTCCCTGATTATAATCAAGCTAAATACATATTAGGTTAAAAAATATATTTAATAGATAACTGGCCATTCTTTGGGCGGAGCTTTGGCCGCACTTGCCGCAGCAAAATTAGTTCATATCAATGCAATCCCGCAGGAGAGAATTAAATTAGTGACTTTTGGGCAGCCACGAACAGGAGATAGTGGATTTGCAATGGGAATGGATAGAGAGGTGAAATTTCAGAATTCTTTATAACTATTTTATTACCTATAAGTTGTCATTCTTCAATTACCGTGTAGTAAGAGCTCGTGATTTAGTTGTTCATGTACCTCCACGAGTATTTGAAGATTATGCTCATTATAAAACTGAGGTTATAAATATAGTAGTATTTACTATTAATTTATTGAATTTAACTTTTAAGATTTTCTATGACAATGGGATGAAACCAGGTGATAAATGGATAAGATGTGTTGGGGGAGATGAAGATAAGGAATGCGCAAATAAATATGGGCAAGTTTTTAACTGACTATTTATCGGTATTTTTATAGGTGCTACAGTATTAGTTTATACTAAAAATATTATTTAAATAAAGTCGTATAAAATATAAGGCCAATTAAATCAAAAAAATTTTTTTAATTAGGTGTTCTTAAAATATTTATTAGGATGTGAAATTTTCACTTAATTTCATCAAACTTTAAATTTTTTACGAATGTTTTCAAAAAAGGGGTGGTACAAAATCATAAGACCAAGATTTCAATTCGTCATTTTTATAAGACGAATTGAAATCCTGTGCAGGATCCTGTCCTACGCCGACCTCTAATTAAAATCCCAAAATCAAGAGCAACCGGGATTACAGTACTACAAAAAATTTGAACTCTCTATATCTGAATAAAAATTTTCTTTTGGGCCCACTAGAAAGTCCACATAATTTGCTAAAAACACTTGGTCCTACTTTAGTAAATGTTAACGTGCTTTCTGTTTCAGTAATTTTGTTTATTCTGAACCCGAACAGAAAATCAAATGAAAATTTTAAGTTAATCATAATTAAAGTTTTACTATTAAACACAATAACAAAATTATATTTTTATTTATTTTTAAGTATTTATACAGTCAGTGATCACACAAATTATTTTGATAGAGATGTATCAAGCTATGGGCTGAGTGGATGCTATGGGGGATGAAAACAGAATAAATTAAATTTAAATTTTTTGGATTAATGTTATGAATTTAAAAATTAACTTTAACTCTGACTCACGGACAGAGGACACTCAACTATTTTTAAATATATTTTTAATTCAATATTCCCCAATAATGGGAAAAATTGTTTCAACAGCGTGGATTTTTATCAAATAAATAAATTTAATGAAAGTTGGTTTAATTCAGGGCTGCCATCTAGAAATGTTATGTGTAAGTACAAAAAGTTTAATTTGAAAGTACTTAGAGGGAAAAATTTTCAAAATATATGTACGCTCCAAAAATACAATCTAAAAAATTGATTTTAGCCCAAATATTTTATATTCTTATCCAAATGAGTTTATCAGCGCTGCAGGCAAAAATTTTGAGAATTTTATTGTTAAATTTAATTTTTTAACGAAAAAGTTTATTCGAAAAAGTTTAATTTCGTAAATACGGAGTTCGTTTTGTACCAGGGATGTCACGGGTCGACGATTGCGGGTTTGCGGGTTGAGATTTTTCTCATTTTCTTATATATGGAATTAATTTGAAAAAGTGTATATGGAGTAGGTTAAAAAGAATCCTGAGACTTTATTTTTGGTCCAATTTTCAAATAATTTTCTATTTGTATGGCCTTATGCTTGACAGACAAACTGCCAAGAATTGGTCAAAAAATTTTAACTTCTGTTCAAAAAGCAAGCAAAAAAATTTATAAAAATTTGACAAAAATTACTCCGTATACTCTTTTTCAAATAATTTCGGATATAAGAAAATGAGCAAAATTACAAACCCGCAAACCCGCAACTTCGACCCGTGACATCCCTGTTTTGTACGAAGATCGATCCCCAAAATTGATATTTCTACTAATAACGATCCTATAGGATAGCTTCGAAAAGTTCACATCATTTAGCTCATCTATAGTTAAATTTTAATATAAATAGGTTTCTAATACACTTTTTTAAAATAATACCTTATTAATGAAAAAAGTTCATTGACGAAAGAATAGGAAAACATTGTTAAATCTACGAATTTAAATATACCTAAATTCTAAATATTTTCAACGACAAAAGTTTTCTAAATTAAAAAAAAATAAAATAAAAAATCAAACTAAAATTTTAACAAATTGTTTAAAAATCAGTTAAAAATAAATGTTAATCTGAATTTTTAGCTTCGCATAGTGTTTATAATTTATAAAGTTGATTCACTATAAAGTTTAGTAACCACATCATGAATTGTTGGACGATTTTGTGGCTCGACAAGGCAGCCCTATATTTATATACCGTATTTCTCTAAAATAGCCCCGGGGGTTATTTTTTTCGATCGACCTCTAGAGGGGGGGCTATTTTGGGGGGGGGGGGGTTATTTTAGGGGGGGGGGGGCTATTTTGGAGGGGGGGGGGGGTTATTTTAGGGGGGGGGCTATTTTGGAGGGGAAGGGTTATTTTAGGGGGTAAAAGACCAACTCGCTATTTATATGACCGCAAAACATTTTCTTATTTATAAATCAACTCTTTTTCTTGATTTACGCCACAATGTAAAGCGCCAAGTTGTCAGAATGCAGCAAAAAATGATTTTTGCAGACATACCTTTTGCGGACATATAGATTAGCGAGCTGGACTTTTAGGGGGGCTATTTTGGAGGGAGGGGGCATTTCAGAGGCGGGCTATTTTAGAGGGGGGGGTCATTTTAGAGAGGGGGCTATTTAGATAAAATACGGTATTTAAAATTTAATATGATTTTTAAAAAATTCGAAATCGTAAAAATTACACTGAATAGTCGTATCAAATCGTTCCATGTTTTAATTTCTGCTTGATCATTAGTAAATATTTGATATTGAATAGCTGTGCGTCCTTCACCTAAAAGTTGTTCACTGTTGACATGTCTAAAAGAGTTATTAACTCCTAGACGTCGACCTTCAGCTCGTAAAGTAAATTCAAAAGCCAATAGACATAATGAATAAACGTCTGAGGCACGAGATACCTTTAATAAGAGAGTAAATAAAATATATATGGGTAAATTATGCTTCGAAATAATCTATTTTAGTCGGGTACACCCTAACTTACCGCGTGCCCAACTTACCGCAGAGCTATAAATTCGTTCAGAATTGTCGAATCCGGCACGTTCTGGTATGGTTCGATCAGCTCGCCGAGGCGCATCGAACCATACCAGGGTGTCCCGGATTCGACCATTCTGAACGAAGTTATAGCTCTGTGGTACGTTGGCCTGCTCCTAGTCGAGGGTTGGAGTTTGTACTTTATTTAATTTTTTGGTCAAAGCTCAATTGTTCGATTATACCCGAGCTCATGTTAATCAAATAGCACTAAGCATTTAATTCATTTTTTTATTAATAACCTTATATTTTCCTTTATCATTCTTTTCCTTATATTCCAAACTTTTATAGGTACCAAATCCATGTGATTTAGTAAGAGTGAAAATCTTTCCTTCATTATACTCCATTTGTAGAATTGAATGTGTAGCTGGTAACAACTTGACATGACAAGGTTCATTGTCACTTATTTTAACGCAGAAGAAATGTGAATGGTCAATAGACAAGTGAACACCAACTTTTTAATGAATATTTGATAATTGAAAAATTTTATTAAATTTCTCCTTCTATTTTGCCCCATCACAAATAGGTAGCTATTAATAGGCCTTTCTAACATAATCTCAAATAATTACCCCTCTCGATTAACCCTTCCAGCGAGAGGTTGAATAATTACCCAGATTATTTGGGTATATACGGTATGCAAAATTGAAATAGTATCATCAAATAAATATACGATAGTAGTTAGTCCCACCTCCTTGTCGCCTGTCGAAGTGACTGGGGATCAGCCAGGATTTTACCTTTAGGTTGGGTCTTGATTTGTGGAGGTTCTCATTAGGGTTGTTGGCGGACGGTTAACCGAACCGGAACCGTTAACCGGTATTTTTGGCGAATTAACCGGAACCGAAAACCGTGGGTCGAAAACCGGCGATAACCGAAAACCGGTGACCAAAACCGCCCGGTTTCGGTTTTAAAAATACACCCCTAACGATGGAAATTTTTGGGAATTTTTCTGAAATTCGAATGACTAAAATACATTTTGGCAAAATATCTTTATCAGAATTATTAAAAATGTCAAAATATATATAATATTTTTTTTCGTTACGTTGGGGAGATGCGTGGTTTAGTGGGTAAGCTGGCGGGCGATAAGGTTCATAGGATAGGGTTCGATCTTATTTTGTGAATGAAGTTTATTTCAGTTTTTTTGTTCCAAAAATGAAGTTTAAGCTTTTAATTTTGATCTTAAATATGCAAATTTATTTTTAAACATTATCAAAAGCGTAAAAAGTTGTAGCAAATTTTTTAAATAGATGAGGAGAGAGATATTGAAAACAGCGAATTTTTACCTACTGTTTTCCAAAATTCTCAAAATTTTCGCCTGCGGCGCGGAAAAAGGAAGAAACCTGGCTTCTTGGTTTTTCCAAAATTCTCCAAAATTTTCGCCTGCGGTGCTGTGAAAGAATTGAATGGTATAGCAGAGGATTAGGATGGATTAAGGTGGATTTGGAGTTATATCGTTTGATTTCAAGGGGTCATATGTAATATCGAGGGCTTTTGATAACCAACGCCCTGGATAACTTCTCATCTTCCTAATCCCCGATCATTGATATGCATTAATCCACCGATCATCGATATTCCTTAATCCCTCTACCTTTCTAATATACAAAAACAGCCCATTTATCTCGCCATATACCCTTTAAATCCTCGAATTGTTGAAATCTGTAAATTATTCAACTCCTAGTATATAGAATATTTATTTAAAGGCGTTAGAATGTTACAACGTCTTAATGGGATATTTTGCATGAAAATTTGTCCAAAAACCGGTCCCGGTTAACCAAAAACCGGGGGTAAATCAAAAACCGGAACTGAAAACCGGGGGTCGAAAACCGGCGATAACCGAAAACCGAGGGTACCGGTTAATAACCGGTCGCCAACAACCCTAGTTCTCATATGTATAGGTTTTGGTTTTTGAGATGAGAGGGGTGGGTGATGGAAAGCTTTGAAGACCTTTTTGTTAGTGGGGTGGGTGGGGGAAATCCTGTTTTGGTTGGTGGAAGGGAACATGAGGGAATCATATTTGATTTTGATTGATTAATTGTTGTCACTTTTTGACAGGAGACACGGAGGTAGGGACTAACTACTTACAATCATGAAATTGTTCAACTGCCAAAGCCATTTGAAGCACCAGTTCTATAACTTTAGCGGGCGATTTTTCTAACGAAATTTAAATAATTAATAAAAATTTTTGTAAAAAGTTTACCCATTTCATGTACGAGATAATTTTCCACAGTTTGTGTGCCATTCTCGATG